CATGAGAAAGAAAAAGGCTGTCAATATCTTCTCAATATTTTTTTCTCACAGCTAAGGTGCAACAGGAGATCGATGAGGTGGTGGGTGCAAACCACACTCCAAGCATGGAGGACCGGTTGAAGATGCCTTTCACAAATGCCGTTATCCATGAGGTTCAACGGTATCAGAAAGGGAGCCTTGAGTTCTTTCCACGGGCAACAACTTGTGACACAAAATTCCATGGTTACAACATTCCCAAGGTGTGGTATTATAACTATTGGTCAAGATATTCTGGGGAATAGAAAAAAAGATGGCTATTATGTATCCAGAGATCCTTCATATCCAAGGCAGTTTCAATAAATATGTGTTAAACCAAATATCTCTCCCTTCCCTCCATGCCTACAGAATGTTTACAGAGTGCTCCCCACTGAGCTATTTTATTTGAGGCAAGTGAGAACTGGAGGCTATTCCTTCTCTACATGAAGTAGTATCAACTAATGTCATCTGTTTCTTCGTCTCCCTTTAGTACACGGCTGTTACTCCAATGCTCTCGTCTGTACATTTTGATCCTCTCCATTGGGAGACTCCAGAGAAGTTCAACCCAGATCATTTCTTGGATGAAAAGGGCCAGTTCAGGAAAAGAGATGCTTTCATGCCATTCTCAGCAGGTAGAGTCCTCTGGAAGACATTGGATAAAGTAACATACTTACTTATTCCATGCTATTCTTTTATCAGTCACAATTCCAGCAAGTGTGCTTCCTAAATAAGCTTTGTTTTCTTCTTTGCTATTGCAGGGAAACGGGCCTGTCCAGGGGAGGCCCTGGCTCGGATGGAGCTCTTCCTGTTCTTCAGCACTCTGCTCCAGAAGTTCACCTTCCATCTGGTTGGGGACACTAAAGACACGGATGTAATGTCTTTGTATTTGGACTTCAGAAATAAGAATCAATACCCCCTTATAAGAGCGGTTAAACGTTCATTGGACGCTTGTGTTCAATGATTAGGAGAAGGAAAGAAGCTGAGGATCTGATGGGTGACAGCTTTGCCTGCTTGCCTGCCTGCC